GCTAAGTATTAACTAGACCATCCCTGACAGGTGTTTGTCTAACCTGCTCTTAACAATCTCCAACAATGGAGATTCCACAACCTCCCTAGGCAATTTATTCCAGTGCTTAACCCCCCTGACAGTTAGGAAGTTTTTCCTAATGTCCAACCTAAACGGACTTGCAAGTTAAGCCCATTGCTTCTTGTCCTATCCTCAGAGGCTAAGGAGAACAATTTTTCTCCCTCCTCCTGGTAACAACCTTTGATGTACCTGAAAACTGTTATCTCCCCCCTCAGTCTTCTCTTCTGCAGACTAAACAAAGGCAATTTTTTCAATCTTCCCTCATAGGGCATGTTTTCTAGACCTTTAATCATTTTTGTTGCTCTTCTCTGGATTTTCTCCAGTTTGTCCACATCTTTCCTGAAATGTGGCGCCCAGAACTGGACACAATACTCCAGTTGAGGCCTCATCTGCACAGAGTAGAGCGGAAGAATTACTTCTCGTGTCTTGCTTACAACACTCCGGCTAATACATCCCAGAATGATGTTTGCTTTTTTTGTAATAGTGTTTACATTGTTGACTCATATTTAGCTTGTGATCCACTAGGACTCCCAGATCCCTTTCCGCAGTTCTCCTTCCTAGGCAGTCATTTCCCATTTTGTATGTGTGCAACTGATTGTTCCTTCCTAAGTGGAGTACTTTGCATTTGCCCTTATTGAATTTCATTCTATTTACTTCAGACCATTTCTCCAGTTTGTCCAGATCATTTTGAATTTTAATCCTATCCTCCAAAGCGCTTACAACCCCTCCCACCTTGGTATCATCCGCAAACTTTATAAGTGTACTCTCTGCCATTATCTAAATCATCGACGAAGGTATTGAACAGAATTGGACCCAGAACTGATCCCTGCAGGACCCCACTCAATATGCGCTTCCAGCTTGACTGTGAGCCACTGATAACTACTCTCTGGAAATGGTTTTCTAATCAGTTCTGCACCCACCTTATAGTAGCTCGATCTAGGTTGTATTTCCCTACTTTGTTTATGAGAGACAGTATCAAAAGGCTTACTAAATTCAAGATATGCCACCTTTATCACTTCCCCCCATCCACAAGGCTTGTTACCTTGTAAAACCCATATAATAAAGGGTTGTTATCCTTGTTGTGTGAATTAAGGGCATCAGAACTGTGCTTGGCATACCCTGATTGAGGGACTCACCCTCAACTAAACTGCACTCGCTAGACAGGCGACAAGAGTGCCAAAGAACAGTGGAGTTGAGAGACAAGTGGAGTGGGGACAAGTATTTATACCTGGTGGTGTGGGCTCTGCCTAAGGATCCTAGACACCATTTGACCCTTCCTCTCTCCACTGTGTAATAACAGAGTGGATTAAGACTCAATTGAGTCTTTTGGTGCAGACCAATAGAGCTGAAGACAGTGATAACCAGGTCTAAGCATTAGACTTGCTTTGGGCAGTGTGTCTGATGCAAGAGGCTGCCCAGTCTGCACTAGCAGTGAGGTTTCCCCATTAACAGTGGAAATCACTGACAGCTGTGTTACATGGTTAAGACATTCCAGAGCATGCGGTGTGGCGAGCAGCTGGCAGAGCAGCTGATGCCAGAGCGACTGCCTGGACAGTGAAGCAAGCAAGGTGCCTACCCTCAACCCCTGCCCAGGTTGGGAGGTGAACTCACACAGATGCACTTCTGACCTCTGGGTCTTCACTGACCATGGACAACAACTGTGTGGTGGAGAGAGAAGGGAGGGGCACATTAAAGGAGCTTTTGGTTGTTGGACTTAAAAACCTGAGGCAAAAGGACACTGTCCAACATACTCTGGGTTGGGTGTTTTGCTCACAGTTTTATGCTTATGAATCCTTCTTGCGGCATTTTCCCAAGTTAATGCCATGAAAGTCCCCCCACCCCAAAATGAGGGTTTCTTTCTTCCCTAGATTTAGCAACCACACTCCTTCAATTAACAGCTGAGAGCTTTGCATAAGCACTGCTGAGTCATTCAATACTTCCAGCAAGAAATGGGAAAATATGATTTGACATTTGTGACTTTTTTGGGTGGGAGTGGGGCAGAAAAACAGCCTCTCAGGCCTTCCTTATACGTCAAAGAAACTAAAGAGGGTACAAATCCATTTATTTTCTCATATTCAGATCCCTGTTACTGACCTGGGTTTGTGTACATGCACTTTCTGATGATACTAGAAACTCTTCACAGACTTTGCTGTACGGGACTAGCAAGTCAAAAACAAGACAAAGAAGTGCGTTATTTAGGACTGGTAAACAAGTGCCTAGCACACTGTTGGCACTTGTTATGCAAATAAAACTAGAGCCCAGGAGAAGGGGGCAGCATGGTAAAGAGTGTGAAGTTGAGAATAGGGAAGAGGCCTCAAAGGGAGGAGTAAAATGCAGAGATTAAAATGAGCATAGCAAGAAAGCGGAAAAGAGAATGAAATGACAGCAGAGTGAATGGAGGAATTCAAAGAGGAGGGTGACATGGTCAGAGCTGTGGGAGAGGCAGATGGCTGATGATGCAATGGGAAGAGATGAGAAGCAGGGAGGTCAGACAGATGGTTTCGGTAATCAAAGTGAGATAAGAGTAGCTTACGGACAAGGGTAAAGAAAAAGAGTCAAATGACACAGACAAGATAGATATTGGAGAGGTCAATGGAAATAATTTTGGAGATGGCAGGAAAATCAATTTTTTAAAAAGCCATAACAGTTTCTTTCTCCAAACCATCTTCATGCAACTTCCAAATGAACCTGGTAGCTGTGACTGGCCAGTCAGAATCCAGGTGTGGTGGGAAAACAGAATAGTCTGGATGGCTGTTGTCATTTTATCACTACCTCACATCCATAAGTGGGCAGCACAGCTCTGGTACCTGCCACCTGTGTTGGGAAGGAGTCAACACAGAGAGAAACTACGAAGCCCAAGATTCCCTTTGAGATCAGTATTACCATCCATCTCCTCAGAAATATTTGGGAGGCCCCTTGTTCTGTCAGTGCTAGCAAATAATTCTGGACTGGTAATAGAACCTTAGGTCATGCATGACATTGTGTTAATACTTAGATTATAAGCTCTTTGGAGCAGGAACTGTCATTTTGTTCTGTGTTGGGACAGCATCTGGCACTATATGACACCGGTCCATGCCAGGGGGTTCCTGAGTACTACTGCAATACAAATAATATTCTTATCACTAATTACGCAATGTCAGCAACTTTCTGGAACTGAAAGGTTTTCCATTCCTCCACAAACAGTTTGATGCCAAGTTCAGCTCCTACCTACCTCTGCCCTTGTTTCTTTTTATTCCACTTCCCCAGTCTTCACTGTGCCCTTCTCCCATATTAGCTGTGCCTTATTCCATGCAATCTTCTTCCTAATGTGCCCCCCACCACGTTATCATTTTCTAAGACCCTCCTTAAATAATACTTCTTTCAAGAATATTATAAGTCTTAGCCCTTCCCATAGTAGAGAATAAAACAGATGAGAGACTTAAAAAAAAATGTAACTAACAAGAAGTTGTTGACATTACTGCTCAAGCTGCTTTTCTATCTGAGGTCTGGTCTAAACTATAAAATTAGGTCGGCTTAGCTAAATAGCTCAGAGGTTTGAAAAATCCACATCCCTGAATGGCATACTTAAGCCAATTTAAATCCCTGTGAATTCTTCCATCAACCTACCTACTGCCTCTCGGGGAGCAGGATTACTTACACCGACAGGTGAATCCCTCTTGTCAGCATAGATAACGTCTACACTGAAGCACTATAGCAGCTGCAGCTGTGCCACTGTAGTGTTCCAAGTGTAGACAAGCCCTAAATGGTTATAAGCTAATATAATCATTGTAATATCTTAGTACTATACCTCATGGACATTCATGAATTTATATTCATCCCTCCGTGAGATAGGAATGCATCATCATCCCCATTTTAGACGGAGAACTAAGGCACAGAGAGATGAAGGGTCTGATCTTTGGAGGTCCTGAGTATCCAGAATGCCCAATCTAAGTCAATGGCAACTAGAGGTGCTTGGCCCATCTGAGAATCAAATGCTACACCGTTTGCCTGATGTCACACAGGAAGTGACCAAGGTAGGAGGCAGAGGTGGGAATCCAGCTCTCTCAAGTCCCAATCCAGTGTCTCAATTCAAGGCCATCGTGCCTCCCCTGGCCTCCTCCCTATTGTCTAGGATTGTCTGTTTGAATGGGACCGCCAGCTCATCTTCTTTGTGTGTAACACACCAGACACTTTGTGTGTCAGAGAAACAACAGGAGCATTACAACAGGATCCCTGATACAGTGAGGGGGGGAGCAGGAGAAGCAAGTAGGGTGCCCTGCCAAACACAGGACGCAATGACATCACACCCTGCTGTGACCCCAAGCGCTAGTCTAGAAACCACTCTGCTCCAGCAACCAAGTACAGGGCCAGGGCTCCTGGCACAACCCCCCTCTCCAGCTAAACTGCCCCTGCCCCCCAAAACGTTCACCCTCCCCCTGGAGCCCTCTCCCCTCACGCCCTGGACCGTGTGCCCTCCCTCAGGGGATGGAGGTGAACCACCCACACCTTGCCCCAACCTCCCAGGCGAGGAGCCGGGAGGAAAGGGAACTCCTGTCCCCTGCCCACGTCGCTGTCAGGGAGGGGCCAACTGGGGGGGCACGGTCAGGAAAGAGGAGTACACCCGCCCCCCCCCCCGCGGGGCAGTCAGAAAGAAGGGCGCCCCCCCGAGGGAAAAACCACTGTCTTACCCGCCTGAGAGCTCCGCGCGCGCCTATTGGCCCCTCGCGGGCTCTCCGGGATCACGTGGAAGCGGACGTTAACTACCGTTCGGCCGTTTAAGCCGGTCCTCTAACCCCGCCCTTTTCTCCAGCCGGCGAGTGAGCGTGAGGGGAGGGGACAACGTCTCCGGGCTCGCCTGTCCGTGCGCATGCGCCCAGGGGGGAAGTCGGCGGATGGGGGGGTGCGCGCGCGCTCGCTAGAGCGGTGAGGCCCGGCCGGGCGAGCGCGCCGCGAGAGACGGTTCCGGACATGGGGGCGAGAGGCGCGCGCGCGCGCGAGCGAGTGAGTAAGTGACTGAGGGAGAAGAAGGAGGCCGCCGCGGCTGGAGGAGCCTGACGCTCCGCCCCTCCCCCAGCCGGCCCTGAGCGAGGAGACGCCGGTTGCCGCCCGGAGAGAGAGCGGCCGCCTGGGCTCTGCGCCTGTGAGGAGGAAGCAGGGAGACGCCGTCTCCTGCCCTGGGACCCTGCCGCCCGCCCCGGTGTAACTAGGGGGACCGGACAGCCCTTCCTCCGGGGCTGCAGGGGGACCCCGCGCCCCTCAGGGAAAGGAGGTGAATCCCACTCCGGGCAGAGGGGGCCCCAGGTGCCGGCTACCCCCCGCGCCAGCGAGCCGTCTCCAGTGGGGTCGGAGCCTCCACCCAGGATGTGAGTGAGGAAGTTCGTGCTTCGTCCCCACCCAGCCTGGGACGCTGAAGCCTCCGTTCCCGGGGCGAGCAGAGACCCGGGCGCCTGTCGCCGATGTGACGGCCCCGCAGCCGGCTGTTGTCGAATAGCGAGAGACTTGAGGGGGGGAAATAACCCAGCCCGCTAAGCACCGAGGGGGATCTCCTCCCGCGCCCTGCCTCAGCGCAGCACCACCGGGCCAGGGGCTTTCCACGCGCGGCCGCGTGGGGGGCTCGTGCGGGGCAGCGCACCGGCAAGACACTTCGTAGCGTTTCCCTTGCAGGAGAAGGTGGAGTGAGACATCGTGAGACGCTGCTGCTGTTCCCACCCTCTGCGGTTCTCTTTTAATTTTGGAACAATTTGGGTTTTTTTGAAGGGAGGAAAAAATGTCTTTCTTTAACTTTCGTAAAATCTTTAAGCTCGGTGGCGAGAAGAAAAAGAAACAATATGAGAACGTCAAGAGAGACTTGAATCCGGAGGAGTTCTGGGAGATTATCGGAGAGCTGGGAGATGGTGCTTTTGGGAAAGTGTTCAAGGTAAGAGAGAACTTGACAAGTGGCAGCTAAGCCTCATGTGGTATTGTTTCTTGAAATAAGTGCATCGCAAGCTTGCCCTTCTATACAGCCTGTTGTCTGAGGATCTCAAAGCAGCCTTCTAACGTAGGTAAGTATTATGCCCATTTTACACTTTGGGAAACTGAGGCAAATAAGTTGTGTTTTGCCCAGTCACATAGCCAAACATTGACAGCACTGCGCTACCTGAAATTCTTAATCATCACAAAGAATCATAGAAACTGGAGATGGAAAAGTCCTATTAGGTCATCGGCCCGCCCTCTCCTCCAACCCGCCACTGCTGAGTTGTTCCCTGCTCCTGCATTTTTTTTCCTCCAGTGTTTTGTTCAGTCTGGCTTTTAATCTCTCAAGGGATAGGCTTCTCTAGTCAACCATAAGCTCAGTTTTCTTTCCCTGGCTACTTTATCAAATTTGAAAGTAAAATAGACTTAAATGTCTCTTATAGTAGCATGAGTGCTGATCTTGTGATATTTTTAATGAGTTCATTTGCCTTAATAGAATATCTTGTTCTCTTCTCAGATTGAATTAAATGCCCCAGGGCTATCCAGGTTTTTCTTTTTTAAGGATGTGTGTGCTGGCTGTCCTAACTTGTTTCAATGACTTGATATAAAATGTTGAAATATAGCAATATAAGTTATATTTGTATAGGCTATTTACTATCTGAAACTTCACAGATGAAACCTACATTGTAATAGTTTTAAATTTGTTTGATAAAGACACTATCAGATGTCAAGAAATAAACTCATGCCTTCAAGCATTCTTCTCTGCTGACTTTGGGCTTCACACAGGGTGTCAATGCCTCTAGTTTGTTTTATGGAGTGCATGGTGTTTGATGTTTCTTGATGGCAAGGAGAGAACTGCAGCCTCAAGCTCATTAGGGAACAGATATGATGCAGGAAGGTGATATCTTGAGCAGATTCATGGGACAGGGATAAAGTGTAGAAAAAAGGATGATGCATTGTTGCTGGAAAGTAACTGTTTCAGTCAAGAAGTTTTCATGTTTAAAATACTACATTTCAGTGGGAATACAAGATGGTTTACACCAGGGGTTCTCAGCCTTTTTCTTTTTTGAGTCCCCCCTCTCCCCAGCATGCTATAAAAACTCCACGGCCCACCTGTGCCACAACAATTGTTTTTCTGTATATAAAAGCCAGGGTTAGGAGGTAGCAAGCAGGGCAATTGCTTGGGGCCCTTTGCCACAGGGGGCCCTGCGAAGCTAAGTTGCTCAGACTTTGCCTTCAGCCCTGGGTGGCGGAGCTTGGAGCCCCAGGCTTCAGCTCCAGGCAGTGGGGCTTTGGCTTTCTGCCCTGGGACCCAGCAAGGTTAATGCCAGCCCTGCTTGGTGGACCCCTGAAACCTACTCGCGGCCCCCCAGGGGGCCTGGATCCTGGTTGAGAACCACTGGTTTACACAGTTTCCTTTTCCTCCAGCAAATAGCTATTCTGGACAGAAGCAATCCTGGCATTTTCTTATGTTTCTTTTCCAGATTGTTAGAGGGAATAACTCTTTCCATTAACGTTTTTTTAAGTTAAGTAGCATCTGTTGCATGCTTTCCTTTTCACTAGGGCCATGTCTGCGTACAGCGCTGCAGTGACGTAGCTGTACCGATACAGCTGCGCCACTGCAGCGCATCTGTTGAAGAGCTCTCCCGTCAGTGTAAAAAAACTCACCTCCGAGTGGCAGAAGGTATGTCGATGGGAGAAGCTCTTCCACTGACATGGCACTGTGCACACAAGCGCTTATGTCACTGTAACTTATGTCACTCGGGAGCTGTAATATTTACAAACCTGAGCAACATAAGTTTTGCTGACATAATCTGTAGTGTAAGATACAGCCAAACTCAGAAAACTTCTTCTAATTCCAGAGTCTGGTTTTCAGGACTCTTCTATGTAAATAACATCCTTTTAAAGGAACACAGAACTTGATTATTTTATTTTTTTAAAAGCAAAGTTGAGATTTTTCAAAGCAGGGATTGGTACATCTTCCAAGAAAATGAATGGATGATGTGTATCTAAATCCTTTAGATTGTTTTGAAAATGTCAATCAAATCTGGGTAAAATCATGTAGTGAGCTCCCCTGAGAGCAGCACCAGTGATCTTGTCATACTAGTGCATGATGCAGAACAGTGAAATTGTTCATTTTGAGTATGAATGAAGTAAACCTAATAAGAGATTTAGTTCCCCCCACAGTAAGTACACATTTTTCAGCAGAAAGTGTGACTTCTAATTTGATGATGTCTCTGCATTCAGAAAACAAAACTTTTAAATGCTGAAGTTGTTCACAATTTTAACAATTTTCAAACTAAAAATATTTTTTAAAGACTATTGGTATTTAGATTATAGTATTAAGAATGACACTTGGAATTCCACAGTATTGTGAGAGCACAAGTAACAAACTTTTTTAGTTGAATGCAAAAACCTGTCAATTTTCACATATTTTAACACTACTGAAAACTCCCTCAATTTTAAAAAATGGAAAGTGGCAGATAACTAGCAGTAGGGTTGCTCATATTTTCTGAGGAGTTCTACTTGTTCCTATTTATAGTTTGAGAGGAAGATGTCTAAACTACACATCCTATATGTATTGTAGCTTCTTCACTGAGGCTGTTACACAGAAACTTCTTAGTTCCAAGTGTTGGAGTATGTCACAATCTTAACTCCTTTACATATCCTGGCGGTTTCTAAACAGAGACGCATAACATGTTTGACTAAAATTATTGGAAAGATGTTGAATTATTTCAATAAAGCAGACCTGTTGCCTTTTAAAGACTATTTGTATTTAGTGATTTATAAAACAACGAATTCATACCAACATATTTTGGAAAAACTACTTCCTTGCCTCCTCCTCCCCCCCAGCCTCCAAATTATCTTTTTTGAGCATGCCATTCTTTGCTAATGTCATTAATGTGCTTTAGTTGTGTGTGTGTGTGTGTGTGTGTGTGTGTATATATGTATACTAACTACATCTTGAATACCAGTAAATGGTTAAATTACAAAGCAAGTATAAATAAATCTGCTGAAAAGTGATTAGAGCTAAGCTTTATCTGGCATCCAGAAGGGGGTGGGGCAAATGGAGCTGTTCAGTCACAATTCCATTCTGAAACTAGCAGCCAAACCATGTTAGTTAAGTAGATCCTGGATCTCAAAGCCTTTTACCCAGTGAATCTAAATCAAGCCACCTTTGTTATCTTGCATAAAAGCAGTGAAGAGTACTCAAGTGTCTTCTCATAGAAGTATTAGTTTTTATTCCTTGAGTGAACATAATTTTCATGGATACCTGAATGTCAAAAGCTTAAGGGAAATAACATACTACTTCCACAGCCCAGTTTTCTCTGAATTGGATTTAAGTAGACTAAAACATCTTTTTATGTTAAGACCCTAGGAACCTTTGTGTAAATGTCTGTATTCTCAATGTTTCAGCAGATTTACAATAAAAGAACACTAAACAAATCAGATTTTGTGTTTCTTGGGTATTTAATGCAAAACAAAGATCAGGTTGCTTACTTGATATAGCTTACATTTATAGAAACATCTTTTAAGTAGTCATTTTGTCAACTGAAAATGAATTATATGCTTAAGCAACCCCCTAAAACATTTTTCTTGAACATATTTGTTACTATTGGTCATATGAAATTGACTTGATTAATTTTATTAATATAAATTTATTTAATACAGGATATATTAACCTAACAAAATGTAGTTGAAGTCTTTAGGATATCTAATTTGTGGGTTAAATTTTTTTCTGCTAATGGTATGGTTCTTTTTCCTCTTCCTAATCATTTATCTGCTTCCAGTTCAATTCAGTTTTATTAGATTGCATATGACATGTCTCTTGCAAATACAAAAAGAAAAATATACACAATCTAAAACAGAAACATCCATATAATTTAAAATGTCAATCAGAACTGCATAAAAACTCTTCTTTGGTACAATGCTAAAAGACCAAAAATTGCCACCGATGTAATTACTACCAGAGATTGAGAAAATACTTAAAACATCTTTTGAAATGATGTTTAAAAAAAAAAAAAGAGGTAAAATCCACTGTGCTCTCAGAAGCTGAAAAATTCTGTAGTTCAAAAATAATGAGGTAGCTCTTCCAACACTCTAGATTTACATGGGCAAAAATAAAAATGTGAAGGAACTTGTTCATATCTGCCTCCAAGGATAGCAATTTCCATGGTTTGGAATCTTGGTTAAATGAGGATTTGATAACTCATTAAAATAAAAACATGACCATCTTCAAAGTAGAGAACCAAAAGGCAAACTTAGACTCCTGAATCACAGCCAGATCTTCTTTTTGGGTAATATCTTTCACTGTATGTTGGAGTATTTGATGATGCTGATTAAAATATATTGACAATAGCTGAGTAATATAAAATCTCAAGCTATCTATAATAAATTGGAGAGTCTTATACCATGGAAACAATACACAGGTTGTTCCTCCCATCTCCTGAAGGCAAAGATGGGGCAGTCTATAATCTGGAAGAGTACAGATCTTTAGACCAAAATGTAAGAAAAGCAATACAAGCTCTACTATGTACAGCTCTACTAATAAAAACACCTACCATGTCACATAAAAGCAAGGCAGAGGGGGTGAGAAAATGAAGGAATAAAGTTTCTTCAAAAAATTATTTGAATGATCGCTAAGGCCGAAACTTGGCCTCAAAACCAAACTTTGACCCCGCAGAGAATCTGCCTTATTTCAGCATTAAAAATTCTTGGCGCTGTGGCAACTCTGTTCCCCCATTCAAGCAAGTAGAACAGAGCACCCCTTGAGCAGAACTAAGGGCTTTTGTTTTAAGTCTTTATGATAACATGACGAATGGCCTGGATGATGCAACTTTATCCCTAAGTAAGTAAAAGCAGAGACTTGTTCTACAAGGTGGCCTTCTATCTTCCACTCAATTTCAAGAGGATTCTTCCTAAATATCATGATGATGGTCTTATTCTAATTGAGAACCAGGT